TAAGGATGGGGGAAACGGGGACATTTGTCCCGGGTTACCGAAGATTTTTAAAACTGTGGGTTGCCCAGTTTTATATTGAGACGGGCAGTCTCAATATAAAACTTAAAATAAAATTAACGATATTATCAATTATTACGATTGTCATTTTATAGTGTGGTTTCTATAACAATATTATCGCATTGCCCTTTGCACACTTATTTCTATACTATATTAATATTACAATAGTATAACTAATTATACTATATTCATATTTATTGTACAAGTTTTAATTACAATAGCATAACTAATTATATTATGTTCATATTTGTTGTACAAGTTATCACAAGTATGTGCATTGTGTATAATATAATATAGGTAAGTGTCACGAACAGGGACTCGCGCAGAAAAAACTTTTGAGAGGGTGTTTTTGAAAATCAGTCGTTGAAAATTAGAACAATCATATTACATTCAAAATGGAATAAGAAATAAACCATACAATATGTATGGTAATATGACATAATGTATACATATATATTGTCGACAAAGCATCACTGTCAACTGAACTTCGCTCAGAATCGTTTTTAGTAGGCAACGGTTTATCCTTCGGTATCCTACACTCCCAACTTCTCACCTTAAACAGTGGCTGCACCCGCGTGCGAAGAATCGTTTTCCCTACTTTTCGGTCTGCATCACCTTAAGTGTATACGTATTTTAAAAGTGTATAATATGCAGCGTAATAAATTATAGTTTATGTGCGTATGTATTTCCAACGTTCAATTATACAAAATCGTTTTTAGCCCTGGGACCAGAGATATAATAATAATAGTATTAACAACGCACGTATAGTGCAGAAACATAACCTATTGCTTTGACTACGTGCGATAAGTTTTAAATTTTAGGCCGGTTGAAATTTCGCGAGTTTGAGCAATAATACGAGTATGTAGGTTCTTAATACTATTTAATAATATTACTGGCGATTATATTATTATAGTCTCGCGCATAAAAATAGCTCGTATTTTTTTCATTTTTTTTTTTTTCCCAAGATTAGTCGTAATCGAATAAAAAAATAATAATAATAATAAAACTTGACGTTGTTGTTTTACGATAAATTTTAATTAAAACACAAAAAAAAAAAAAAAAAAAACTGTGCGCTTGCGAATATCTCGTGCGGCTTTTTCCTTTCTAAAAAGATAACGGTTTTTTTTTTTTTTTTTTTGAATATTATTGGCTGGCACAACGTAACGCGGTCCGACCATGCCGCGTTACCATCACCATTTTCGGTAAACGATTTCCAAACTGTTTATGTAATCGTAAATGCGCGCGTGTTTTTCCACTTTGTCGACAGCCTTTTAGTTCATTATAACTTACCGATGACGTGATGACTTGCTTGCAAGTCGCAGCTTATATAATACTATTATGTAAGCGCGCTCCGTGACCCCATTATTCCTACATCGCTATACTCGGTGGCGGTTTTTGAAATTTGTTCTGGGAGGGGGTGTTCCTTTGATATTAACTCGCATTATATGTTTATCGTACAAAAAATATTTACCTACCCAATATTTATTAATTTACTTTAATCAACTTACGTATTATTTTTTTCAACTATTGACAAAACGAATGTACCTACGTTTTAATCAACAACGAAGTTTGAGTTTAGTTTAACAATTATATAACAAAAAATTCTACTTTTCGCTTTGTTTTACTTAATTCGTCCAATATTTCGACAGTCGTCAATTTCACATGCCCGTCTATGCATGTACCGTAACTAGACTATTTAGCCCGTTTTGAAATATTTAATGGACGAGTTACATAGTTAACATGGTTAAATATTAGACCTGTGTTATAAATATCTGTCATGTTCGATTATAGATTATTTAGGAACTCGTAATAAATCGTACGTAATTGATTACACGTTTAAGTTCGACGGGCTACTGCTGCATAATGATTCATTAGTGCTCGAATTGAGATGGTTGCATGATGGGACGTAGCTCCTCTACTGTTTTATTTTGTATTTTGCACTTACCTACTATTTTAACATACTGGAACTGAGGGGGGGGGCGGTGAATATTATAACATTGACACAATCTTTTTTTTATATCCATTTTATTTGTTTTTCATAGTAGGTAGTTTATAAACCAAGATTTTGATAGCAAGCGTCCACGTTCGCGGTAAACGGCCACAACAGGTAACAATTACCGGTCTAATAATGTAGTCCTATTATCTTATGAGTGAAAATTTGACCAGTCATTGTTTTTTTTTTTTCGCTTATCGGCCACCATAACCCTAAATCCAAGTTAAATGAACTATTATTTTTGTCGGAATGCTTTATTTTTTAATGGCTTAGCAGAACTCTTCTACTTAAATTTACCCAATTCAAACACTGATAATGAATAGTTTTTCGATTAGGTGTAAAGTTTACGCCACCGCTAATCCACGTTTTTTTTTTTTTTTCAAACGCCGCCGCAGTAGATTTTCCACACGAATGACAGATATATAACAAAATATTATAATGAATCAAATTTCATAGACAAAATTATAATATTACATTCTATGAGTGTATAGTTTCGGCGAACAACACGGCGATAATAATAAAGGACCAAAGTCACCCGACATGGCCGGTATAAATCTGTATGGTTAAAAAATTATAATTTATATTAATTTGCCAATTAATTTAGTTTTTTATTATTTTTTTTTAATTTACAATGAAAAACTAATAAATTTATAGTCTACATTCCGAGTAAAATACCCGTATTACATAACTGACTATTACTTGAACCAAAAATAAAATGTAAATTTTTTTTAAAAAAAAGCATAAAACTTAATTTATTAGTGATCAATGATTACTAATCATTATAATACGCTCACGAGAAAAACATTTGCCATAGTAAAATATTGATTAGCTGGTTACGTTTGGCTACTGGTTAGTGTTTGATTCAATAATATGTATATACGGTATTCGATTGTGTCTGTATATTCCATAGTTGTTATTTTGCTGTCTTTTTACGTGAAATTATTACGATGTTAATGATTAAATAATTAACCAAAAAAAAAAAAAGAAAAGACGGACATACTTCACTCTATGTGGGCGGGCCACTGTTGTAGGTGAGAAGTTTCGTCGAAAATTAACGTTTTTCATTAGCAATGGTTTATCGTTGCTTACAGGTATACATTAAATACCCAACTTTATGTATACCACCTATCTAATTGTCCGCTTACAACAGTGACCGCACCCGCCCCCAGTATCAGCTCTTTTTTTATTATTTATTTTATACAATTCGTTTTATATTATTACATCGTGGAAATCAGTAGCGGATCGCCAGATGAATCAAGTGAGACTCTGCCCCGGCTGCATTTTAACATACTGCACCCGGTTTCAGACCCATATGCTTTACCCGTCATGAATATGTATGCTATAACTCAAATGTTTATATCATAATATTAAAAAAAAAAGTCGTCGGGTGACGTATTAATCGTAGAAACTGTGGTGTCGGGTTCGATAGCGTCAATTGCGTAACATGTTTTTGCCGTTTTTTTTGGTAAAAAAAAAAAACACACGGATAATCTCTGTGTGTGATTAAAACATTTTGGTTTTGCTCCGAGGCTCACCCTAATTGATTTTCTTCCTTGTTACCTATCCGACGTGGTATTGCACAACAAATCGAGGGTTATTTTCGTTCGAAACAATCCGAGCGAACGAGTGACCCCGCTAGGTCTTTATATAATGATTTTTAACATTTCTCTATTATCTATCTAACGTGATATTGCACAACAAATCGAGAGTTATTTTCATTTGAGGTAGTTAAAAATCTTTATTTTTTTATCGGATGATCCATAACATTCGACAGGATCTGAAACCGGGTGCAGTATGTTAAGCCCCGGCTGTACAATTGTCTTATTATTACCAATAATTAATATACTCGGTTCACTGTACTTTCGAAATCTCAAAAAGAATTTTGCTGCTCTGGGTTCACATTATTTTTTTTTTTTAATGCTCCCTTCCTCCAACGGTTTTTTTATAGTGTCAATTTTTTCTCCCATAAAAAAAACTAGTACTTAAAAAATGCATTATAAAAACCTATCGAGTGTCCCGGAATGTTGAATATTGTACGTGCTCTCAATAGCAATCGTGAACACGAAATAATCAAAGCAAACTGTTACAATATATTATGCTTAAGAATATTGTATGGATTTACGAAATTATGTAATAATTCTATTCAATTTAGGTGTTAGGTATTCTTGATGAAATAGTGAACACATAAAAAATTATAATGTAATATATTTGTTTCAGAGAAGGAAGCTCTAGATGACACGTATTCACTCAGATAGCCAGATGGATATGATGTCTAGAAAATGTCAATTTAATCGTTGTCAACAATCGACTAAAACGTTTACACTCACACTATTTTAAAAACTGTGAGCTTTTAATACGACGTTCAATAAAATTAATGTCACTTTCATAGTGTTTAACAATATGTCAACCTATCACTTAGCAGATGACAACAAATACATGTTACTAACATCACAAGATACTCGTATTTGTATAGTTTATAGGTATTTAACAAATACATCAGATGTGAATATTTGATTGTACAGAATAGCTGTGTTGAATGGTCGTTTTGTTGATATTGATTTGCATAATTTATCGTAAATACGTTTTCAAAAAACAAAAAAAAGCTCCCACTAAAATTTGCTGCTCCCAAAAAAGTGCTACCCGGGGGCAACTACCTCCGATGGGGTCTCCCTAAATATGCCACTGCATGTTTAGTACTAGACGGTTTCAATACAATACGCGTGTACACTAAATAATGTCAAATTTTCAGAATAATTTTCGGTACTACCAGAAGTTTAAAATGATCAAATAATAAATAATTAATGATAACAGCGCTTTGTTTTCCATTACTAATATTTTATTTTGATTAAATATGAGTTTGGTCCGAACCCAAAGTACAGCAGTAGATACTTACAAATAGTATGAGTTCAGTAGAAGTGAGACGAAACTAGGTAACCCGATTACAGCAGAAATGAAGGGTGGGTTTTGGATTATTCTGACTGAAATTAGTAGAGCGTACAGGAATAGAAAATGGAACAATAGAGTGGGTTGGACGTGGACGGACACGAAAGTTAATAGGGGAAAAGAGCGATGGGACATCAGTACAACTGTCAATAAGATTTCGAAGGAACTTTATGTTTGTGGTTTATTATTCTGTCAGACAGAGTTAACAGACCTAGCCCACGGAGAACTGAAAAATGATCGTGTGAGGGGTGGGGAATATTTAGTATATAACTGGTGTAGAACGGCTTTGGACTCTTTCTATGGTAGCAGAGTCTGAAGCCGTGAGAGGGGGGGGGGGTTAAAATGTGTATGAAAAGGTTCACGAACCGTCCCCAGTGAAAATAATTCAATAAAATAAAATACGTAAAGATGAATTGTTATTTGACGGATACGGAATACGTTTTATGTCGACCGGGAAGAATTTATTTTGTTCGCAGGTGAAACAAAAGAAAAAAGGTTCTTGTATTTGTATTAAAATTCGGTTTCATCCCCCCCCCCTACCGGTGACTAATGTTACGTAAGTATTTTATTATACAGTACGTGATGCGTTTGGTCGTATTGCGGGGTAAGGATAGTGAATATCGAACATTTTCCGAACATTGGACATAAAAAAAAAAGAAAAGAAAAAAAAGCCATTCGAATGGTATACACCGGTCTTGCGGGACACACTGTATAAAATATAATGAGGTGTGTGAGCGGAGCAGTTTTCGTTTTTTCGTGTGCGCGTAATTAGGTGTTGTTATTTTTTTTCTTTTCACGCCGATGAACGGCCCAAAAGAGAGGAATGCACGGACATGCACGAGGCCGGAGCATCGCCGGGTTACACGATATTTCAACGTCTCGGCGACAACAACGGCGGCAGTGCGGACGCGGTCGAGAAAACGAACGGTACCATAACAACTGTGTTATTATTTTTATGTACAATAAAGTAACGATAAATGCCGACGGGGTGGCGGATGGTTTACGGTGTGACCCGGGGAATATGACGCGCCCGGCACCCAGATGAAGGGTCGGTGACGTGCGGCTAGCTGCACGCACGTAACCGAGCCGGCGGGGGCGGTAGGGGCGTAGGCGTTGTGGGTGCGAGAAAACCGGTGGGATGTCGGTCACAGCCGTGCCGTCGGGTGTCCCGTGTTTCGGCCGCGGCCCGTTTCGAATGTCCCGAAAAACGGACGTGGACGACGAAAACGACAATCGGACGTGTCGAGGGAACCGGCCGAGTGTGGACCGCCCGGATAGAACGGTCCGCGGGGAGTCCACAATCTATCGAACACCGCCGCTGCCACACGAACCACGGACGCCGATAGGTTTGCTTTTTTTTTTTTTTTCTCTCATACCCGGGGTGGAAATCGTGGAGAAAAAACCGACAGTTTGTCGCTAGGAAATCCGCACGCGGATATTATTATTATTACGATTATCGTTTGCCGGCGATTTCCGTGCGGAAAACGCGCAGTCCAAATTACGGCGGGTGGTGGCGTGCGGCGGCGTGCGGCGGCATGCGGCGGCGTGCGGCGGCCGGCGGCGGCGGTGGGCGGCGGCCGGCGGCGGCGGTGGGCGGCGGCGGCGTATACGAGGTAGTCAACGCCGACCGACGACCGTGACCTTGGAATGGGTACCGCCGCCGTCGCGGCCCGGAGGCATAAATCGCGAGCCACCGCCGCCGCCGTACACAAGCTGTGCATCCGGTTTTTTTTTTTTTTTTCGCGGATCATAATATTTTACGTTTCTGGCAATTTTCGACGTGCACAATTAGTGTCGGACCGGGCCTGCGACGGCCCGGTGCGAATAAATAACGTTGGTACCTAACCGCCGACGGGCCCCGTTAAAATGACACCCGAACCGGGGCCGGTTTCGCGTTTCTCGATCCGCGGTTTCGGTTGACCGCGTCGTTCTCGCCGTGTCGCCGTGCGGTTAAGCGTATCCGAAATTCGATGACGACGCCGCGAAACTATTAAAAAGGACTGCGGGGTGACGGGCGGACGGGTGGGCCGGCCGAAGTTGTAGAAATCGCGCAGTTTCGTCGGCGCGGTAGAGCCGACACTCCGTATTTATAACTCGACGAGTTATTATGTTTGTGTTATAAATTATTTCCATCTCGGCCCATCACATACTGTTGTTGTGTGATTCGCGAGTTATCCTCGGGACGACTCCAAGGTCTAACGTACGGCTCGCGGTATTACCGTCGCGTCGTAGGGCCCCGGCAGTGCAACTGCAAAGATATTTTCCCCGCAGAACGTTGTTTGTTGTATTTCTCCTCTTCCCCCCCCCCCCCCCTCCCGCACGGGTATCGGAACCCGGGTATCGTAATTGTTATTACTACGGCGGCCGGTCTGCACCAAGCTACGACACGACGACAGTTTTTTTTTTTTTTCCTGCCATACGCATTATGGTCCATCACGATACTGGTCCGCTCCGAAAACCACTCCGCGGTCGCCGCCACTGTTGGGAACGGTTCGTGCGCGTGCGCCCGGCACCGTGGGTCGGTTCGTGTGCGTACGTCGCGCGGGCCCGCGGCCGTACGTAGCCCACCGCCGCCGACTGTCGCGGCGTCGGTTCAGTTCAACGCCGACCGACGATCCGTGTGCACGCAGTTGGGTTGCAGTCGGTTCCCACTCTTTCGCTCTTTCTCTCTCTCTCACTCACTCTCTCTCACTCGCTCTCTCTCTCTCTTTCACACACACCACACACACACATACGCACGACGACGCACAGTGCTCATCGCGCGCCGCCGTCACCAGCTCCTCATTCAGTCACCGTCCGTCGTTCTGTCCGTTTGCACGTTGCTCGCTTAAAGCGCCGTGCCGTGCAGTTCGCCGGGCGATCATACGTTCAGCAGCAGTAGTCCAGTCCAGTCGGAGCGAACCGGACCGGTCTTCGCGCAACACGACAACGTCGCAGAACATTTTTCGTAATATCGTCAAGGTAAGAGTTTTTCTTTCTTTTTTTTACGAATAGGTTTTTTTTTTTAAAATTATTTTTTAACTTTATTATTATTTTTTTTTATTGGGCGATATAAATAGAAACCGGGTGTTTTTTACATTTCAAACGATATTACAGCGCACTGCAATAATAATTATACGTGTTCGGTTTTTTTTCTCTCTTCTCGCATTTCGATAAAGTCCACCCGTTATTACAATACAGTATAGTTATTAAGTATAGATTTTAAGTACTATTTTTATTATTATTTTTTTTTTATATATATATTAGTCGTCGCGAACTTCATTATAATGATATTATGTGCCCATTGTGTCCCACCGCCGCCGTAGTCTCCGCCGCGGGGAAGAGAAAGTACCCATCTACCGCGAGTGTGTACCCGCGTACCAAACCGAAATATAATAATAATTTTTTTATTCCGGCCGACCGCGATGGTGTTTTTTTTTTCTCTACGATTTTTCTAGGTTATATACGGCGCGTAATGACATAACAGTTTTTTTCTATTTTTTTTTTTTTTTTCCCAATTTTTTCCTCCTACATATTTCCGCGCTCCGTATTATCAATCGCGGTCGTCGTTCTATTAGAATAGGTATTGTTATACCTGTTCTTAGTAGGTGCGCAACCCAACGCCGCAAAAACCGACACAAAATAAACGTACACCGCGACGAGAAAAAAAAAATTATCGGAATTATCGCCCGCCGCTCGATTATCGGTATCCCGTGCCGGATACTTTTGTCTCGTTTCTCCGGGCCCGGTACCCGTGTCGCAGCCCGTCTAATTACACGGTGCCCACCTATGACACTATTACCGTCGTAGCCGTGCGCGGTTTTTCCATTGTCCCGACGACCGTATTATAGTCCGCGGCAGCCGGTTTCATGGGCGAGTGTCTCTCTCGGCCCGGTCCCGTCTCGTCGGAAAATACCACTCTACTTGTAATCACCGTCGTCATCGTCATCGTCGTTCCGACACCCGATTCCCCGCGGCCATTTTCCCGTATACGGGCCTCTCCTCTTTTGTTACCATTGTGTATTATGCGCGGCGCGGTGATGAAACCGTCGAAACGTTCCGCGAAACACGGCGGCGGCTTTGGTTCGGTTTCGTCGCCGGGCACCGGACGCGCGAATAATCGCAATGGCGGTGGCCGCGAACCAAGTCCCCTCGAGTCTCTTGGGCGGCGGCGGCGGCGGCGGCGAAAACCGCCCGCCCCGCGCGCGAACATCCGCTCTTCCGCCCTTCCCCCCCTGTCCGTGACGACCCGGCCGGGCCCGCCAAGACGAAACCACCGTAGTCACTTTTATGAACTTGGAACACTTGGAAAATTTTACACGTCTTTTAAGCCCAAGTGACAATATCAATAATTGTATTATGGTAGTTTTGTCACCGGTTTTCGGGTCCGACCGCGCGCACTCGACGGCCGGGCGGTCGTTTTTCGATTTTCGTCCAGGTCCAGCGGTTTTGGATACAGTTTTGGGTACGGGTGGTCGAAACCGATCGCGCCGCGACAATACGATCGTTGTGTTTATTCATTTCGCGTTTCGGTTAGCGCCGCTAGAATTTCCGGTTCGGTTGTCGGGCGCGTCGTGATGTCCACCGGTTTTGTCCGCGATAGTATTGTCACAGTCCGTATATTTTCCGCCTCCGCCCCGTCGCGGGTATCGACCGCGAACGCGTTTTCAATCCTTCTGACCCGTTTCCGATGACGTATCCGTTACGACTTAAGACATACGCGTATTCGGCCGAAATCCGATTCGAAACACACGTCCGATACCCGGTTTCGTTCAGGAGTTTATTCGATTGCGTTTGATCGTTTTCGTCAATCCGTTCGTCGTCTTCCGATCTCGCCATACCCCGGGCCCGCGACGACGACGTAGCGAAACGTCCGAGCGCCACGGTCGAGTTTTTTTTTTTCATTGCGTTTCACACACTGACGGCGGTGCCGTCGGCAACGGTTGGCAGCACCGCGTTTATCGTTTTCGGGCGTACGCCATTAGCCATCCACGACCACCCGCCGCCCACCGACGACCAACAAAGTTTCACCCTTGCAGCTTCTGTACCGCACTCACTCCCATGTACTCGCGCGCCCAAGTTTTACCCAAGTTATACCCGGTTATCATTAGTATTAGTGTTTGCACGCGCGCACGATTAGTTCGTAAGTTAATATTAGTATCATTAAGGGTTCTATTCTGTTATCAACGTTTTATTTTCGACCGTCCACGGGACTGTGAACCGCGGTTATCTAGATCGGGCGGAGCGGTCCGACCCCCAGCCCCCCTCCCATGTTTTTTCCGCCTCTTTGGCGAGTTAACACTCGCATGTTTTATCATATTAAATCAAAAGCATAAATCCTTTCACGTTTTCGTATACCGAAGAGTTTTTTGCAAACTCTGCGTGGACATAGGTAAAAAAAATTACCTTTAAATAAAATCAAAATTAAAAACCCGTATCCTTAGAAAATCATGCGTCGCTGTTTAACCTCGCCTATACTGTGTTCGATTGATCATCGATCATTCGATAATCGAATTTCGACTGAAAAATCGGCTTCTGAAACACAACAACTCCAATCGAAAATGTATTTATCGATCTGAATCCCGAATTTTATATTATGTACACAAGTGATCCAATCATCTTAGTTATGTACAGGATGGCCCACGACTATTGCAATATCATGGAAATTTTAATTTTATTTCGTGATATTTGTTTTATTTTACAAAAGAAACGAATAGATAGCTTTAAAATGTTACCTACATTTTCAATTTTTTTCTTCGTCCTTATTTTTGGAGGTGAACTGACTAAGAACCTATATTTGATTATCAAACGCAACCAATCTATTACAAATCCTATAAACAGGCGGACTATCAGTTGAAATACATTTCGGTGTTGAACATTTTGATTCGTTAACGGTAATCAAAAATGTCAACACCCAAATGTATTTAAACTAACACTCCGGTTCTATTTATGGAATTTGTACTGTTAGTTGCCATTTGAAACTCGGCAGTATGTAAGTAGGTATTCGGTTTATATTCGAAAATGAGTGCGACAGAAAGTAATGATAATGTAGCATTGTAGTGTTATCTACTCGTTTCTTAAATTGTCAAAAAAAAAAAAAATCTGAAAAAAGTTTATACCTATTCTCCAAGATAACTTTATAATATTTCCCTTTATAATATGTATTAAGAGGATGTCATCGCACCATTTTTCTTTTTCTCTGTGTGACCCACGCAGGACATGGCGAATTTTCTTCATGTACCTGAAGTGCTCAGAATGAACTATTGACCTCCAATCAAAGTCCGAGATTCTCGATTGTCCCGCGTCTGTGTTTTTTCGTTATGTCGATTTTCAAGCGAGATACAACTCGTGCAAAATATCGAAATTTTTTAAAACGCCTCTTTTATTTCGCTTAAAAATTATTTTGTCGAAAAACACCGACGCGATACATACGGAATATACGGTCTCGACTTTGGATTTAAATAACTGGCGTAGTTCGCTCAGACACTGAGCCTAACATTATAGCAAACACGTGTTTGTCGGTCGTCGCAAATTTGCGCTATCGTGTTGGGGTGTCGCAGAGAGAAAACAAATGGCGTGGCTGTGACGTCCTCCTAATCCGTAACGCGCAACGACTCTATTAATAATAAAAATTAATGGCGTGTTTTTAATGGAAACAAAAAAAAAAAAACTAAACAAATGTTTCTTAGCCGCCCTCGGTATTTAATATATACGAAAACGACGTGTAAAAATCGGCCTTTCGCAAAAGGTCGGACCCCGCTCCCGTTCTGGACAATTGATCTGGACGATAAACCGCGGTTAGGTTAGGTATAAACCGTGCAGCAATGTCGGTATGCACCGGGCGCGGACGTTCGCGCCAACAATTCCGTGTTTTGTTTCGGCCGACGTCCGTTTTAGGTAAGTATATTATTATATTGTATTATAATTTCAGTATACAAATAATAATAGTAATGTAACGTGACGTGTCAAAATACGACAGTCGAGTTCTCTTCCGCGTGTCGGAGGTCTCGATTAAAAAAACCGTGAATTAATTCCGCGTACGTGAACATCCGTGTGTTCGTGTACGCGTGAATTTATTATCCGCGTTCACCTGAATATAACTACATACACGGGTGGGCGTCATTAAGGGGTGACGAGGGGTAACCTAACTGCTATCGCCCGATGGCGGGGGAAGGCTGATTAATAACTACGTTGCTCTATGAGTAATTTTCTCAAAAAAAAAAGTATAATTTTCTCGTTTTTATTTTGTTTCATAATGCCATCGACACGAATGCAATAATAATTATTATACCGTCGGCTATATCGAACGTACCCAAAGATCAGTCAACAGAAGATTACTCATATTTCTGAATGTATTTTATAGTTTTCTATATACGTACCTAATTCTAATGAAAAATATTGACTGGAACAATTGAAAACATTATTCAAGATGCTTACTATCCCATGATTTTACTTAAAACGTGTTTAGGTTGGGTTTCACGTGAAATGGACACCTCTATATAGTAATAATAATTGTTGTTGGGTAGGTTTTATTTTCCCCAGAGGTTTATTGTATTATTTACAGCAGTTTTTTTTCTTTATCCGTCTCCCCCGTACCACTGTGTACGCATCGCATTTCAACGATTGCCACTATATGGTTGAATTTAGGACCTAAGATGAATTTAATGAAATCGACCTCGTTAATGAGTTATTAATGGTTAAATTATAACGGGCATTTCTTCACGATAAAAACAAATCATTCGGACTAGGACATAAAATGTGTATAATACTGGTACCTTTGTCCTAAACTAAACCGAGAACCTCAACAATTGAAGTGCGATGCGTATTCGTTACTGTATTACGCGTGAGCCGGACAAAGAAAACAAATAATGTGTAGAGGCACACCTCAAGAGGGCGTGTTACCCGGACGACATAGTAGTGAATTCGCATTCAACGAGGACAACATTGTGCCGTTAGTTTTGATATTATAGTGAATTTGACCTATTATTAAACCTATCAAGACGAGAATGTTAACTGAAAACAACGTTGACGATATTTTAATGTCGTTTTAACTTTTAATCGAGATATCAACATTATTGTAATATTTTTCCCGATTAGAAATTTGAAATACCGAGAAAAAAAAACGCCATATTTACACGGATAATGTTCTCGTCTTTAAGTTTGATACGGTTAGGTTAGGTTAACGCAAATTTGCTATGCCTGGTATTATCTTGATGCTTTTTCTATATTACTATACGCTCTGTAAGTGGCGTTAATGGCCTTGCTGGGTGCAAGGGTATTTTGCAAATGCATCCCGTGAATTCAATTTTTTAACACATTTCAAATATGTAGATACAGATAATTTTATAGAATTTTCAGAATACTACAATTATTGTGTAAATACATTTCTATAAAAATCGTTTTTAATGGTTTTATCATAATAATTTAGCGATAATTATATGTAAATTATTCGTAGATTAGAACCGATTTCGTTATTGTCCAAGTTTTTTTTTTTTTTATCAAATTTAATTTGATTGATATCAGAAGACATAAAAACAGCATAAATTATATTATTGAATATGTATTGGTAGTACATATTATGGAATTTTGTGAATTTTTAATTTTATTATTAAAAATATATAATGTAATAAATTCTTGTAAAGTTTTTTTAAAACTTATATATTGATCACGGGGACGTGGTCAACATAGTGCACGGGCAATTCTACTTACTACTTTGCTCGTTTATTTTACAAATATTGAATATTCAATGCATTGAAATATTATCTATACACCGTTGAGTGCAGTTTGCGCAATTTGTATTTACAGTGTAATTGAGTACCTACATTTGTGCATTCCTGATTTATTTATGTTTATTTAAAATACATATATGCACACTGAGATATATTGAAATAGGTTTTTGAATATTGTAGATACTATCAATAATCAATATGTTAAAATTGAAAAATAGAATTTTATATGAAAATGTATTAATTTTGTCCTTTATATGTGGTACACGATCAAAGCGAGCTGCTTTACTATTGAATTTTCAATATTCGTTTAAAGAAAATTATGAAATCACGCCCCCGGATATGAATAAACGTTATCTCGGATACGATTTAAGGTCTATATAGGTACCTTTTTTAAGCACGGGACCGAACGGGGAAAATTCGACGTTATTATATTTTATAAAATTCGAACATTACCATCTTGTGTTTCGTATAGTTAACAAAGTGGAACCAAGATACCGTGTTCTATATCACTTAAAACCCTTTAACCTTTAATAACGGTTTGGCAATCGTGTAGTATAGATATCCATTAGTTCTTTACGCAGTTTTTTCTCTATATAAAGACAATATATGAACCAATTAAAAAGAGTCTGGATAACCCAATCTACTATAAAGACGGTCGTATCCTATACAATTCCAACCAGACTGAACGAAATATCGTAGTTATTAACCTACACGAAAGTAATCCGTAAAATTGGTTGACCACGATTAGAAAACACACATATTATTTAAAGACAAACGCGGTTTACCGAATTGTTATTCGAAATACTTACTCCATTTTTGTTCGAGACATTTTTCGTACACGCCTGTTATTTTAAGTTTTAACCAAAATTAGAAGAAAAAAAACACTGGGTTTTTTCAATCAAACACGCTTTTATTCCTTATAATTTTTAACCGTTCAACCGTTAAAAATCGGGTTTTATTTAGATTCAAAAACATACATTTTAAATTTTGATAAACGTTTTTCCTTCTGCTTCCTCATCGCCTCCTACTATTCTCGCTTTCCGTCACATCGCCTAACTAAAATATTTGTATTATATATACCTACTACTATAAAATTTCTCTACTCGATTAACGTTTAGATTGACCTTCGGCCGGTTGTTAAATATTATTTCCTTGATTATTTCGCTAAACAAAAAAAAAAAAATGAAATAAGTAACCTGCCGGGCTTAATATAAACAAATATTTAAAAAAAATCAAAGAATTATCGATAAAATTAAATCTATCGATTGTGACTTATAAACTACACGGAAGAGATGTGTTGATAAGAGAATGCACTCGCACCCCCATTACAATTTTCATCTATAATTGGTCTAAGTTAAATTTTGATTTTTTTTTTAAATTTTGTACAACCATATTATGTATCAAAAATTTTGCTCAACAATTATACTATGTTTTTTTTTTGGGGGGGGGATGGGGGATTGGCCTCGTTAAATTTTTGCACTCCTGACAATCCCATTGAGCGAATATACTATGATTTTACTAACAGTAGTTTTCGATAGTTCTCTGCCACTCACCTATATACTTACTTAACTATATACTCGTATCTCAAAACCATGTGTGATTAATACGTGAAACATAACCGCCTAACAGTATACAAAGTGATCAATCCCCGAACGACACTCGTTATCTATCTCGGATAGTATTAACTTTTTTATTTTTTTCTTTAGACAGTTATTTAAGAAACGAGTAGCTCTTAAATTTTAGATTACCGTTATTTTCGGGAATGAACCGATTGCCTACTTTTGATTTATGAACAGTGACCTATATTAAAGATACCATTTATAGACTGAGTATTAATTAATACGTTTAGGTATTGAAATTTTCGATTTTCGCCGACCCGTTTTGGTAGGGGAAGTATGTAGTGAATCATTATTTATTTACGTATGCTGGCGCAGTGCGCGGCTTGTGAATTGTCCTCCACTACACACTTCCTACCTAAATTTATAGGTAGAATATCTCGTCAACCATGTTGTTGACGAACATTATAACACTATAGTCTATTTAAATTAATGGTACTTTTCAATACCCCAATCTGTGTATGAGATTTTTAATTTTTTAATTTTTAATTTTACCAGAAATCTTGTTCCAATTAAAAAAATAAATAACTTAGCAATGGTTTTCAGTGCCTATTCAGATATAAATTTAATAATCTTATGTGTCCTAATTTCTCAACTTTCTATTTGCAACAGTGGCTATTGCACCCGTTCCCAGTATCACTTCTTTTTTTTTTTTTTGCTAAGTAGTTATTTTGTTTTAGAAGGTTCCCCCCAAAATTCAAATCTAAATCCGTACCCGGTTAGGTGCGCCATTAAATTTCTACGTGACGACGTGTAATTCACGTGGCTTTTTTTTCTTTTTCTACACGAGTGCTTTTGTACACCGCCATTATATCTTTATTGTACTGTACATAGATAAAATACGCCTAATAATATAATATTATTAGATATACATTTGTTACAACAAAACATTTAGAAAGGCGTGACTGTATTCTGATTTTGTTACGGAAAAATTGCACCGCGGACGTATGCTTGAAAACCTATAGAAAACCTATAGAGCACCGGACGCCTATTAATTTTGTAAAAGTTTAGGTTGTGCCGTGTGTTATTGTTTATTACATTGCTATTATAATTCATGTATTCCTAATGTATTTACACGCCGCGTGTGCCATATTCGAAACTGTTTTTAAAATATACTTATGACATTTTATAACTTGGTCGATCGTAAAATTTCTTTAAAAAAAAAAAATAATAAGTAAAAACTGACATACTTCACACGATGATGAGAAACTATTCCTGGTAGGAAAGTTGTTAACAGATAAAAAAAATAAATAAATAAATAAACATTGTAAAACCAATACATTCCTCGTTTTGGTCAGAACTTAAAACAACAATAATTATTACTACATCAGGCTTATCATAGTTTTAATCAAACACCGGCCTCGCGTTTTTGATTACGAAATGTATTTTATCGTACATTGATGAATCACACTTTGTCTGTTTAGAAGGAATGCGGGGAGTTTAGGGGGTGGGGGTTCTGGACTTCCACAATTTAAAAGATTAGAAACCGACCGCCGATTCCAACTGCGAAGTATACAAATTCCCATTTTTTCAAAGCAAATATTGTATTACTCGTAGTATACCTAGGTAGACTCGTCTTTCGTCTAGCTATTTTGCCGGACGTGACTCTTTTCGATCTTAATCGCACCCATCACTTTTCGGCCAAACCAATAACAACAGTTACATGTTATACATATTGGAAAAGTATAAAATATGAAAAAAAAAGTTATAGAACACACATAAAAATTAACGTATACAAATGATCAAATATGTATAAGTATGCATTATTATATTATATATCTTATCAATTGTTATAACGCTGCGATAAAGTCATGAAAACCCGTTGATATTTATTTGGTATTTATATGAGTATCAGCTTTTGTGCCCAAACGAAAATAGTTTCACTGTTTAACGAAAACAGAAGGTTTGTAAAAACAAATAAGTAAGGTTTTTTTCTTCTGAAAATAGATATTTTAGCTTTATACTTATTTTATCATTACTATAGATCGTCTTTTTCACAGATGATCTTTATCGCCTGTATATTTTTTGTTTGGTCGAAAACAGTTATGCCCGCTTTGCCCCGACCGATTTGAGTTCTGACATGATCTAAGTCCGTCCCGTTTCGAGGTTCGCATCCAGAAAGTCTCGAAATATAGAGTTTTCTGAATAACCGTGTACCCGGCCTTCAAATTTTTATCCGGGCTATTGTTTTTTTTTTTTTTAGATTTTATACAATTATTACTCCTACTTTTAAATCGCGAAAATAGGCCAAATGTATGTGGTGGAAGGGAGATGCGTATTGTTTAAACTAGAAAGAGTCAAAATAACCACTTCGTGGAACTTTGGCAATGGTATTTCAAAAAACAAAAAAAAAACTAATGTATCTATTTATGTAGGCATGGCTAATGAATCGACTTTGATGATTATTTTTTTTTTTTTTGTTGAAGTTATACTGGTTTTAAAATGTTTTTCGCAAACGTTATTATACGGGTATACTATGTATAGAAATTGCAACAAACCGGCGTTTTGATAAATGTAATAATTTTTGGCTAATAAATATTTGTAAAAAAAAAAAAATATTTTTTTTTCCATTGCAGTACTATGTGCGACTGGCTTTTAAATTTTTTTAATATTTTTTTGCATTTACACATTTCATAATATACAAGGTGATTGAACATTTATGTTACAGCCATTTTATCATGTAAATATTGAAAATAGAGAAAAAATGTATGGTACAAAAGTTTTTCGATTTATAAACGTCTAAAATAATTTATACATATTTTTTTTTTTAGGGGGATTTCGGGGGTCGAATTTTAAAATTCAATTCGGAACCTATATTAAAAATTCGATAAATAGAGACGGAGCGTCAGATTAAATACATTTTAGCGTTGAAACGTTTGATTTCGTCAGGTTAGGTTAGGTTAGGTAAGGTCAACCCGTTGACGAGATATTCTACTTTTTAATCTAGGTACCTATGACTAGAAGATTAAGTGGAACACTACGTGCTCGTGTGTTGGCACAATTGAATTTCAAAAGTTGACCCCCGAAAACCTCCCCGAAAAAGAAAGTAAAAAAAAATAATACATACAAATTAATTTAGGCGTTTATTAATCGAAAAACTTTTTTATTGTGCATTTTTTCCCTCCTTTTGTTTTGCTCGATAAAACGGCCGTGACATAAATTTTGAATTGCCCTGTATATACGCGCACAGAGAGATAATAAACAAAAAAAGCAAAAAAAAAAAAAACTGGCTAGTTTATCCTTTATCCTCGATCTCGTCTCTCTTATACAGCCGTTGTTCTTTGTTTGGAATACGGTCGGGTTTTATATAATGTACTCGGAAAACCCACTGGCAGATAACGACGTCTCGTAGTTATTAAAATAAAAATATGAACGTGTGGGTAATGGGTATTATCAGTGTAGACAGACATAATAATATTATTGCCTGTCCAGTTGTTTTTAATAACGAAAAGTTTCACATGGCCGTACAATATTAATCTTGTTTTAATTTCTTATATTACCCGGGGAAAAAAAAAAGAAAAAAAAAAAAGGTTATTATTGGAGAGTATACAGTGGAAAGCGAGGATTTAACGGAATTGAGTCGCGCGAAAAGGACAGCACGGAGATCCGCGGCAAACCGATTGGTTGATTGAAGACGAGAAGAGAGAAACGAGGGAGGACTACGGCAAAAAAAAATCCGGCGAAAAATACGCGAACGCGGAATTTATCATAAAAATAATTTAGTCAAACAAATTTATAAAATTAATCACTACGCGTTATTATCCCCCTTCCCTTTTCCCCTCTACCCTGTTAAAGCGACTAGTATAATAATAAATCGCATCAGTTTTTTTATACCGAGCATTTATTAAATTTTTGAAATTTACTTTAATATTATTATTTTTGTTTTGTTTTTTTTTTTTTTTTATCGCGATTCTTACATGATTAAAACGCGTTATTGTAATATTAATATCCATACCTGGAGTATACGTGACTAAATAAAAGTAATTTATACGGTTTAAAATTGAAATGTATACAAAGTACGTAAAAGGCGGTTAGTTTAATTTACGTTGGTGTAACGTACTCGATCCGGGCATTATAATATTATTAAAGCGTAGTTATTTTGTAATACCTCATTTTATAATTATAATTCTTCCGAAACTCGAAATTAATCGTTATTCGGACGGGCATACGACATTGTAACAATACAGTATAAGTATCCGTGTCTGGCCATTAAAATTCACTTATTCCCAAGTTACTATTAGTAATCGTCGGGATCGGGTGGGATAATTAATTTTTGTTTACCGCACGCCATTACCCGATTCGGATTATAAAACGGACGTTTCAAATCGATTTTGAGTCTGTGTTTTTTAATCCTCGTTAAAATATCTACAATTTCCGTGTAACCGCAAATATTTCAGATTTCAATTTCAGCTGCCGTCGTGAATAGTCAGGCGCCGACTAGACCGCCGACTTTGGGGATGCTAAAATCATGGACACGTTAAACCCCCGTAGGTGCTATGATGCCCACAATCCCCTCTCCACGACACTTGCAATAAGCGACTTGACGTTTCTTTTGCAATTTTGTACAATATACAAATATTTTATAACTATTTTAACGACAGAGTAGATGGATCGCTGATAAAAATATGATGTACACCGGATTCCAGAAACCTTGATTTTTCCAATAATTACCAAGATTTCTTATATGATTTTCTGAAAAATTACCGAAAATGTCCACGACTACCGAACATTTATACACTGATTTCCGTTAGAATACCCTCTGATTTTAACATAATTTTTCATACCCGCATGAAATACACGGGAAAAAATATTAAGTCGTTACTGTAAAAAAGATTATTGGTTTATTTTTTCGAGGGGTGCTCAAGACCTCCCCTACCACCCCTTAGTCGCCTCTATAAATTCATAATATCGATTGAAATCGAGCGTGTACCAATAGTAAATAAACTTAATTTTTACTCGGTAACGACTCGATTTGAGGAGACAGGAATTGAGTAAGTGAGGGAGGCAAACCTCATTAGCCCTTTACTATTTGCCCCCCCCCTGCGTATTATTCGGCGCTTAAGTTATTAAGGCGTTTAAAGTGTCAACAAAACCCGTTCCATACATGGTAGAAGATTCAGTTATTTTTTTGTAAATTGATTAATCGGTTTTATACGTGTATAAAAAAAAAAAAAAGAATAAAAAATTTAATGGCGATTCATTTTTTACGGTCGATGGTTTTTATCCTGGCACACTCAACATAGACAGCACTCGAATGCGCGTTTCACGAAACCGCGTTTTGAACGCACAATATTTAGAAAACTACACTAATGCCACGTTAATAATAATTATACTCGGTAAATAACTTTTTACGACGACGTCGTGACCTCTAAGTTAATATGGATCGGATTACGAAACGAACAGCCACCGCCGCCGCTGTCCGCAGCATAATACAATACTATAGATTTTTGTAAAGCCGAAAATGTCGGTTTCGCTCGGACATAAAAAAGAAAATAAAACCGTACAGGGTGTTCTTTGCGGGATTTGCGAAATTTCTTATCACGCGCCCGATCACTAATAATACTATTGTTGTCAAACCCTACATATTATACACGCTGTGTATATACCCGACCGTGTGAAATTTGGCCGCCGGTACCTACTTCTATTATGTTCAACGCCCGACCAAAACGAATCTAATAAAGATCGAAACCAAATTGTTATTTTGTTAATATTATAAAATTGTACGTATTAAGACGCGAGGAAATCGTGTTTATACAATATTAGCGCGGCCGTAATACTAATAAAAATACACGAGAAACTAACAAAGAATTATACGAGTCCAACGACTGAAATACATAAAAACATTATACAATAATAATCATACTTGCTCATAGTACTAATTTTTGTGCAATTCTCGCGAAATAGACCTGATAACGCGCGTGTTTTAGTTCGTAATTTCAGCTGATAAGGTCTCTAAAATTCGACTCGGTGTTTTGTAACATTGATAATACAAATTATATAGGTGAAACCGTTGTTATTAGGTCTGGTTCGATCAGGTCTCGGAGGCGTGCGCAGGGAGACGGACGTTAGGGGTCATATCTACATCTCCTCCAGGGTGGCTTTTTAACGTAACAACTACGATTGTGTGTGTGTGTGTGTGTGTGTGTGTGTGTGAGTGAGTGAGTGAGTGAGTGTGGGCGCGGTGTAATTTAATCTTGAAATGTATGTTTGTATATATATATATATATTATTTTTCAGCCAAGTTGCGAGGGAAAGCTTGATTTATTGTGATTAAACATTGGTCTTTAGGATCCGGCTTTTAAATTCCCATTGTCGAGTCGGGTAAAAAAGAATGGATTCTTTTACGATTCCCATTTGCTAAATCTTCTCTCACATTGAACGTCTCCGGACACACGGTCGCTAGTCTTGTATTTCGCGGACTTTTGAAGTCCTATGCACACGATGATATAGTTATAGTAGTTAGTTACTTACTTTCGCGGTACACGTATCCATCACATAGACAGCGTCCTTATGCGATGATGTATGCAGCGCGAAGTGATAGCAGTACGCGACATATTATAGATGAGGCGGTAGTAGGTGGCGCGTATATTAGTAACGGCGGTAGTTACTATTTCACTGTCACGACGTCACGCGACAGTAAAGTAGACAATAAATAAATGGACCGATTCGATATTGTCGGGAGAGAACCATAATTACGAAATTTCGACGTTACATAATGGGCTGTAAAATTTTTTCTATATTATTCATAGACAGTAAATAAAATAATATTTGACTTGAATGTTCTGTTAATATATGGAAATTCGGTTCCCAGTACTATTTACAACAAATGCAAATGATTATTATAAATCCATAATTACTTACCGCGAACTAAACGACATTGAACATTTGATAATTAATATCAACTATCAGAAAAAATTATGGATTTTAGTTAATGATTTGTTACATAATATAATATAACCTTAAAAAAAAGCCTCTGTCCCGTTGTGTTTCTCTTGTAGGTCGTACGTTATAACATTCTCTTTTCCTCGAAAAAAACGAGATTTCTTCCGGAGACAGTATACTATAGACGTGTCCTGTCCATATTTGATTATTGTCTACGGATTTCGTAACCGTCGACTATCAAGTGATGGTTGCTTTCGCGATAGTCCGGCTGTGAAATTACACACCGCGATAGTGACTAGCGTCGTGCGGACCGAGCTCGATCCGTTCAAAATATCGTTTGTCAAATATTGTTATTGTGACCGCTGATAATTTATGCGAATAGGTCGTTGTACTTTTAACTGTATTTATACGGTACCTAATCCGGTTTCGTCGGTTTAGTCGGTATTTCGTTTTTTGTTCGCGGTCGGAAGTTTATAAAAAAAAAAAAAAAGCATTTATAGGTGATAGATTGTATATTTTTTTAGTAAATGTGTATAATACGTATATAGGTACCGTAATGTAGATAAACGAAAAAATATATTTATCGCGTATATTATAATAATACGCCTATTCCGTGGTATTTGATCGAAACCGAAAAAACAAACACATCTATAAACGCCTTATTATATAGAGTGCCATATAGCGAACGAAATTAATACTAAAATATAATACGACCGTAAAGGATAAGGTTAAAAAATAATGATTTTGTGTGTCCGAGCAATTTCGTGGGACGGTATAGAATATTATAGACTTTTGCGTGCGGAAATAGCTTATAGATTGGTAAAAAAAAAAAAAAACCGGTATCTCGAATTTCGTTATTATTTTTTCCATAGCATTTCCATCTCGGAGAATTATAAAAATACTTTTTTTTTTATATATATATATATATATATATTTATACCTGATACGTGTGTGTGTGTGTGTGTGTGTCGGATTACACTCGTCCCAAACGCACAATTATCGTTCGCGATATATATTTATTAGTTTTTTTTTTTTTTTTGTTATATTTTACGTTATATTACGCTGTAATACGGTGTACCGTACACGTTTATTTACACGTCGTGCTCGCGTTTTTATTGTCAGTTCGGAATTCCGGCGACGAAACACCACAGGTGGGTAACGTCGGTTGGGTCGGGTCAGGTTAGATCTCGCTTATAATAATACAATGTAAAATGCATGTGTGGCGCGCCGATCGCAGTTTCGTCGTCCCGTACGCGCGCGCGCGCCCCGCTCGGATTGGTTCGTCCGTAGTTCTTCCCGGCTACAATTATTGACCTACCTGTCGGCAGATGGACTAGTATCCTTCAGTAAGTTACCTACAGCCGTATAGTTTCATCCCGGAGACTCGATTTAAAAAAAATTCAAGTCGACATCGATCGCGTTGCCCGTATCGGACAATGTCGTTTTAGACGACGATACACTTGCATTAACCTATCGTAATTAATTATGCTCCTATACTGTACGGACACGCGTTTCGAACGCATTTCAATAGCGACCAACACTTTTATGGGCGCTTGTGTACAATCGAACAATTTGATTAGAAATAATGAGTAAATACGTAGATGTATAGTCGCAGCGCTCGAACGGGGAAAATAAAATAAAAACGGTTACAAGACTAAAAACAAAAAAAAAAAATGTAGAGCGTCCCTTGCAATCATCGAACTCGTCCTAACTCGTGATGGGCTTCGCAAACAAAACGAATGGTTTTTTGTTGCCCCGCGATGGCGCCCCGACAATTTAACTCACGGTTTATCGTGAATTGCAATTAATGGCAAACAAAAAAAAAAAAAAGTTCAGCGTAATGTAATACTGTTTTTTTTTTCCTGTATAAGCGTTCAAAGTTCATAGTTTGACGAGAATGCAAAAAAAAAAAAAACTATTTACCGTTCTACTTCAAACTAACTGTTAGAGGCACGCTCTAGAGTTTCTAAAAATGTAGACCCATCGGAAACGCAGGCTTGGAAACGACGAGCCGAGCACATCGCGTTACTCTAAACGGGCGGAGGAAACGCGCGTTTGCGATTTCGGCTTGTACGTTTTTTAATCTATTACGGTTATTCATACGGTTTTGGAAAACCGTACGCGACGGCGTATACCCGACAGCTGACACTGTACGCAACTACTTAAAACAAACGAACGTCGAATATGTGACGGTAAAAAAAAAACGAGAAACCCTCGAACTTGAAAACACGATGCGCCCGTCGAGAGCGTGTTTTGGTTCGAGCTAGAAAATGTTTTCTCTCGTCTTCAGTCCGTACGGGACGGGGCCCGTCGCCGCAGTTCCCCGTACGCTTTCCCAACGCGATTCTCCATCCCACTCGTAAACCATCCACGTCCCGCGCGTCGTTATCACTATCGCGGTCCGTACATCTGCGCGTTCCGTCGCCGCCGCGACGTCCCATGGATTTCGCCGTCCGTTCCGAATTTCCGTTTTTGCGTTCCGCGTCCCCGGTGTTCTCGTTTCATCCCCGTCCGATCGGCATTTTATACGTTGAATCCGTAAAACGCGCGTTGTTCCTGCGCGAAAGTCCGAAGCGCCCCAACAACGACAGGTCCCGGATCGCCGCGCGGCCGGATTCACGACGATTCGAATGACAGCGTTGAAATTTTCGAAAACCGTATTTGTCGGCCGTAACGAGCGAAAACGCGATAGTTCGAACCGTGCGTGTGTTAGCTAAATACCCGGCGAATAAAAATCGATATAACTCTACGTCCAATCCGATGCCAACACCCAAATAACGTAACATTGTTCGTCAGATAAAATAATGATAAAAAATAATTTAGCCCGTTTATAATTTTTCGCCGGTTAAAAAACTTCAATTGCGTACTACATTGCCATAACGATTATTGTTAAACGCGTTGTAAAATACGATGGCGTTTAAGCGGTTTGTGAAACTGTAAAACGTATTCGTATTGTCTTGTAAAAAGAAGAAAAAAAAAACTGACAACTGTTGTAGGTAAAAAGTTGGGAACGTATAGGACGCAGAGGGAAATTTCGTGTGTACCCGTGCGCAACGGTTTTTTCAAAAACGATTCTGAGCGGAATTCGATTACGCGTATTTACGATTTTCGACAAAATCTGATATTAAAATTCTTATGAAAATACAAAAAAATTACATTACGTATTTTTGATCACAAAGTACGACTCGTAATAAATCTGCTGCGTAATCCTGTTAAGTTGTCATGCATTTCTGTTTGGTCTAACAATCGTATCCACAGAGGTACCTACCGAGTAAAACACTCCGTAAAATTGAAAATATTACATTTCGTACATTTTCCCGCTGTCCCGTTTTTTACGTTTTTTCCCCCAACTATTATGAAAACCTCTAGAAAAAATCGAAAATTGCCCTCTCTAAATTAACCACCCAGATAGAATTTCTTATCAGAAAAAAAAAATAAACATCATTGTAAAATCAATACTCTAAACAATTTTTTAAAAACCCTGCGGACGGTTTGTGTGAAATTATAAAACCGCGTTCCGAGCGTTTATCAAATGAACATAATCCTTATTATTTAATCGGCGTTTGTTTGTGCGTCGCACGGCCAATTATAATACTATACCCCTACAGTATTTGCGCGCTATTTCGAAAAGCCACGTTTCGATTTCGTTTTGTTTTACCTATCCCTATACTTGCTGTACTCGGAGCGCATTTTTCGATAGCAAAATTATAATAACATGCGCGTATTCAATCGAAAAAAAAATCGGGGTCTAAAAAGAAAAATACCCCGTTCGCTATAACCGTTTTCTTATCAGCGAACATTGAACGGACTGTTACTGTTCAAACACGAACAGTTTCGATAAATGTTTAAAAAAAACGATTTAATTTCAAACCGATTTACGTGTCCGTCACACAACCGCGTTCTAGACGCGATACGTTCCTCGTTGTTTCAATCATTATAATTCGACCTGAATGTGTATAATGAGTATTTTTTAAAAAAAAAAAACCAATCGCAAAAACCTCCTATTATATAAGACGTAACATCCGCTAACAAATACTACCCCGTGTACTTCGTATGTAACATATTACAACGTGTAACAAGGTATAAATCGAATTCATTGAAAATCGCGTTTTAACATTTTACATTACCTAACCTGACCGTGTGCGTTTTTTAACCGATTGTAATTTGTGAGTGTTTTTTTTTTTTTATTTCGTGACGATTTCGCAAGGTATACTACCTCGTATACCTATAACTCGGTTTCGCATAAAATTATTTTTATTATTATTTTTTTTTTCCTTATTCTGCGCTCGCTTCCACGGTTTTCGAAACTTCTTTAAAAATTCATAACAAACAAACTCGACGATAAAATTATACTTTTAGAACAATAATACGCACAATGCACCCGTTAATTTAGTCGCGTTGTTTTTTTTGGTTTTCACTCGCTCGCGGTATTTTTTTGAAAATTCAGCGAAATTCCATTAACGACTGCTTTATAATTGTTATTAGAGTCGAATCGATAAAATAATCCATTTTGTAATAGAATCTTAAGCCGTTTTTTTTTTTTTTTTTAACGATATTGAATAGACGCCGTGTGACGTTTCGATATCCGATGAAATAATACAATTGATTCGGAATACTCCGTTTTTTTAAATAAAGTACTTGTACCTATTTCGGGGGAAAAAAACACTTGCGAAGTAATAATTATTTTAAAATTAATGAAACCTATGAATATTTAAATATCCGTTAAAATATTTTACGTTTCACCGATAATCGGTGGTGCACAAGTGCGGCTCTAAGTCATTCGAAATTATTCCGAATTCAGTGGCGGCGCGAAGTATTTTAACTCATATCGTTTGAGAATCGTTGGCCATCGTTTAAAAATCAAACGTGAATAATAGTGTTGAAATAAATAAGCTTAAACGCGTAACGAATAGAAATCAAATTTACTTAAAATCTACCGAGAAGAAAAGAATCACGATAAAAATCATTGCCGCAGCACATTGTAGCGTTTAAGGTTATTTTTTACGATTTTTAAAACGATTTCAACCGGTACGTTTATATGCACGGCCACAACAGAATTTCGCGAGAAATTCTCCGGTGCGGTGATAATTTTTAACGGATGCATTTTATAAATAGACCCGGTAAACCCTTGAGGTTTCGACTTTAGCAAAAAAATATTCCGTAAAATCTATTCCGAGAGCTACATACCTGTATAGTAGAACACCATTCCGTGAAGTATTGATCATTCGCTCTTGGAACACACTGTATATAGAGGCTTTTTTTTTTTTTGCTATTGTTGCCGCTATTGATCTCTCGACACAGAAATTAGTTAAACCGTTTGTGCGTGTGTGTGTGTGTGTTTTTTTTTTTTATACGTAATATAGTCCCGACACTCGAGTTTATTATTGCCCGATACCGATGTATACGTAAACGATTGGACAATATAATATCTCGGCGTGCGCTATCGAAACATAAAAACTAAATCGTAATAATTTAATGCGCCGAACACACAAGTGGCCTACTTATGTTATACTCTGTATAGGTATATGAATTGTTAATTCCGAGGTATTGACTCGTGTGCGTTTAAGAACTGCAATTTTAGGTGTTGGGCCGGCGGGTATGGATAGGTGTTTGAACAACACGTCGACGGTAATCTAGAAAACGAAGAATCGAAACGAAACCCGTAATTATACATCATAAATACAATAACCTATATATATATATAAAAGAAATTTTGCAATGCCTAAAACGTTAATTTGTATTAATCGTTCGCGCCACGGTCAGATTGTGTCTTCTGTTATTAAAATAATATTACCTATGTTAAAATCGTAGTGTGCGTTTTGCTCTAACGGAGACGGCCAGCGAAACAGAAATAAAAACAAATTCTCCGGTTTCCCTTTAAATTATTATAATAATATCTCTCGGCGTTGTGGTGTTTATCAGACCGGGGAACGACTGCCATAATATACGGTTATGATAATTTTTATTCTGTTGTGGCACATCCACTACTTATTCCTATAATAATAGACGCTGTTTTTTTTTCCGCCGTTTTGATTCGGACCGTAGTATTATTATCCGATCCACTGCGAGCGAAAATAAAATACGACAGTCAGATATCGATGCCAATACTTAAAAACAAAAGTTTTTTTTTTTTCTCTTCTCATCGTCGGATGCCGTCGTCATTTGACACCGGCGCGATCTCGGCCGCGCGCGGAAAAAAATGTATCGTGTACTTGCAGTATAGTTAATATCGTTATACGCGTGCTAACGGATGTATGTTTTGTGTTACAGGATTTATTGAGTAAAAGCGGTTATGATGAGGGTTGAATTGGAATCTGCGGTGAAGTTCATCATCACCATGTTGAGGGCCGGACACCGTTCCAGATTAGTTCGGAGCAAGGTCTCGAGCTTCTTTTTGGAGCCCGAGATCGAGATGTTGCAGTGCTCGTTGATGACCGTCATGAGTAACCAATATCAGGACTTTTGGTTCCCGGAGTCACCGAACCGCGGTTCCGCATACCGTTGTATTCGGATCAACAAGGACAAGATGGATCCGACAATCGCCAGGGCAGCTGCCATGTGCGGTCTCTCGTGCAACTTAATCCGTTCCTATTTGCCGGACGAGCTAACATTGTGGGTGGACCCAGCTGAGGTGTCGTACAGGATCGGCGAGGAGGACGGAAGCATTTGCATTTTGTACGAAGGGCCAAACCCTCCGGAGCCGGTCACAGCAGAACCGGAAAATTACGGATCTTCGATGTCATCATTGTCTTCGCCCCATTCGCTGTCTAACTCGATGTCTACTTCGCCAGGTTCTATGTCGTCTTCTCCGCAATACAACAGCCATATGTCTCATCAACAACAGCTACACTTGCAGCAACAACAGCACCATTTGCAACAACAGCATCAGCAGCAACAGCATTACCAGCAGCTGCAACAACATCAGCAACAGCTACAGCATCAACAACAGCAGCACCATCAACAACAGCAGAACGCATCCATGGCTCAGATTGATTTAGGCTGCAACCTAGGTGGTAATCACGGTGGCAACATTGTTGGAAACATCATTGGGAATATGGGCGGAAACCTTGGTGGCAATATGATTGGAAACATTGGTGGAAATATGGGTGGAAACATCAACAGCGCTATGATTGGCAACATGAGTGGACACATGGGTGGGAACATGGCTGGAAATATAGGCAATATGGGCGGTAACATGGGTGGAAACATCAGCAATAACATGGTTGGAAACCTCGGCGTTAACATGGGTGGAAACCTCGGTGGCGGCATGAATGGAAACCTCGGTGGCGGCATGAATGGAAACCTCGGTGGAGGCATGAATGGAAACCTCGGTGGCGGCATGAATGGAAATCTCGGTGGCGGCATGAGTGGAAATCTCGGTGGCGGCATGAGTGGAAATCTCGCTGGCGGTATGAGTGGAAACCTCGGTGGCGGCATGAGTGGAAACCTCGGTGGCGGCATGAGTGGAAACCTCGCTGGCGGTATGAGTGGAAACCTCGGTGGTGGCATGAGTGGAAACCTCGGTGGCGGCATGAGTGGAAACCTCGGTGGAGGCATGAATGGAAACCTCGGTGGCGGCATGAGTGGAAACCTCGGTGGCGCCATGAGTGGAAACCTCGGTGGCGGCATGAGTGGAAACATGGGCGGCAACATCGTTGGAAACATCGGTGGCAACATCGTTGGAAACATCGGTGGCAATATGGGCGCTAACGGATCGTACTCCAACTACAATTCGTCTGCCAAGCAGAATAACACTATGGCTTTCGTGCCAACAACATCATCTTACGGATCTCCAGTACAGTTCGTACAATCACCCTACCAAACTTACTCCACTTATATTTCCAGTTAAATTAATAGAAAACGTATTCACACACGCACACCGATTCAAAAGTAAATTTTGCTTATTTTGTAAATAGTTAGAAAAAACCACATAAACAAGTAGATTTATGTTTATTTATTATAGATGAAGTTTTATCATAATATTATTAAAATTATGTTCATGTGTATGTGTATTTAGTGAAACAAACTAGGTATAAAATATATAATACTACTTACTATATATTTAAATATATAATACATCATTTATACTTAGACGCATACATTCCCCTTCCCCACCATAATATTTATTATGCTGATCATGATGGATCTCACAAGTCTCCTTTTAGAAATATTACAATGTTGTGATTGCTTAAACGTTAAATTAATATTATATTATATCGTGTGTGCTCTTGACTCTCTTGAATAAAAAAAAATAATAATAATAAAAAGTAGAAAAAAAAAATAGCAAAACGCGACCGTGTGAGTCCAATATATTATTATTATAAGATAAGTTTTAAACAAAATTAAACATTATTATAATACGTAATCAACTATTGCGATTTGTACTGGGTGCTCCGATTCGCGAGACGATATTATTTATGAATGTTGTTATACTAGGGTTTGTTTTTTTTGTTTTTCGATGTGATATGTAATGTGATTTGAAGGACTAGAAAAGAATTTTTATTTTGTGTACGTTATTTAATTAAATAAAATAACGGGAAGACTGGGTTTGTGTAATACGTTTTCGAAAAATCGTATATTGAACTGTTATGATAATACGTAATTATATATAAATATATATTTATTGCAGAAAAAAAAATTGATATTGCATTTTTCATATTTTATTCGATTATTTATTGGGTCGATAACGACATTTAAAATCATAATATTATATTCGTATCTATTATTATTATTATTATAAATATAAAGCGAGAGGAAAAATAAAACACGATAAGCTTTTCTTGTGTGTGTATTATTATGTTATTATTATTAAAATTATACTTATCTTTATTTAATAATCACTATATAAAAACAAAAATTATACGTGTGTTATTATTTTATAAGAAAAATTTAATTCATTTTTCAAAAAAAAAAAAAAATACGTAGTTCGTGTTCCGTGAAAATTTAAAAAAAAACCAACATAATACTTACCAGGTTATGTTACCAAAATAGTATAAAACGTTTTCTCATCGACCGTTGGCGTCATAATATTCTCAACACACTTTTAACATTTGTTTAATTATTTTCGTTATGAATATGGTTTTTTTTTTTTCATTTTTCCCCCCCCCCCCATTTTGTGATATGAATAATATATTATTTCGTGTACCTTTCTTCTAACCCCCCCCCCCTTCCTCCCCTATCACCCTGTCGTTATACGTGTACGGTGTCAATTATTATAATACACTTCCCCGTATTGAATTTTTTTTGTCAATTATTAATATACTCTTCGTGTGTTACATAAGAACATCGGTTTACGCGTCTCTCATTCGCCGAACAAAATTGAAAGTATAAAAAAAAAAAAAAAATAACCGAATCGCACGTAATATATAATTTAAAACGACGAAGTTGTGTTCCTCTATAATATAGTTCGCGTTTTTTTAAATATTGATTTTTTTTTTTTTTTTATTATTTGTCATGACTACCATAATAATATACTCGCACTCGGTAAATAAATAGTAAATGCATAAAAACATAAAAAAATTATAATAATATTCTCGTTCCGTTAAGAAAAAACATAATGTACGAAACTAAACGAGACGACTGTGCATTGCGTTTTTCGTCACCTATACGCTCACTTACACAACAATAAAAACTGGTTAAAAAAACCCCACCACTCTAAAAAAAAAAAAAAAAAACTATTATTTTATGTATTCAATTTTGGTCAATTAAAAATCTGTCCCCGGTAGGATTTTTTGCTTTGTTTTTCAAAACAGATTTCAATAATAATAATAATAATTTTCCTAGTCTTAGTTCCGACTGTAACGTCGTCGGTTATCAATATCGTTTATTATTGTTATTATTGTTATCGTTATCGTTGCCAATATCAAAAGTATATAAATGTATAAATGAAAATAAACCGTTGAAAACAAACAAAAATTTTACGTCGGCGGTCTTAACACCACGTTGCGTCAAGGATTGTGCGGTGTGTATACAAATATAGTAATAATAATAAAAAAAGACTTACGTGACGAATCGATGGGGGGGGAGGGGGGTGAGTCTCGGTGTTTTAAGACTTTGTAAATAATATATTATTATTAAATTATATTATATTTTAATTGTAGATATTTTTGCATTGATCTCTCTGTCTCTCGTTCTCTCCCCTCCCCTCCCCGTTCCTCCGCCTCCGTCTGCATCGCCGACGTCGCCGCACCGTCGGTTTCTCTTCTTCATTTTGTCCACTCTCGTAATAATAATTGATGTCCTCTCCGCAAATCTCTCCTATATACAAAACGTGTAATGTTTTACGAATGAACGTAGCTGATTGAAATAGTATTTAGTTGTATTTAGTTGTTAATGTCTCCCCCACACCATTAATACCGCTGTCCTAGCCCCAAAATCCGTCGACGACGTCCGTACGAGTTACTGCGTTCGAACAAGTTTATTTATTTGTGTATTTTTTTTTATTTTTTTTTTTTTCTTGATTTCAAAACAAACCGCTTCAATCCTGTAATCAATTTGTATCACGTACTCGTAATATTATTGATTCGCGTTATTAATATACCGTACGAATTACCAATATTATAATTATAATTTAATTTAATTTTTTTTTTTTTTTTATCACTCATGTTAAATAATTGACCAAATTGTTTTATAAATATGATATTCTAGTATTTTGTGTGTGTGTAAAATAAGAAAAAAAAGCGATTCGTAAAAAAAAAAAAAAATGCGTTCTGTTACGCGCGTTTCTTTGCTGCGCATACCCTCAGAGCAGCGATGCACGTGTAAGAGAAAACGTGGTTTTTTTTTTCATTTTACGTTTCGTCAGTCTCGCGTTCGTTTCGAAAATGTGAACGCTATACTTGTTTGTATGAATAAATAAAACCACACCGCACAACCGATTAATATTCCAATTTTTTTTTTTTTTTTGCCGTTTTTACATATCTTTTTCATCAATTTTCCGTCTCGTCTATTAATTTACACCTCTCCCAATGCTTTGTATAAAATTTATAATTTGTGATTTTTTTTTTTTTTATGTTTAAACTCCCAGTCTTCTTGATTTATAATTCACATTTTTAATATGCAAAACAAAAGTTTATTATTATACATGCCTTGTATTGCGGTACGTACTGATTACCTACCCGTACGTTATTATTATTATTATTATCATTATTATTATTATTATTATTAAGTATTACTTTTTGATTTTTATCTCTTTGAAGTTGTTTTGATTTTTTTTTTTTTTTGACTTTGAAATATTATTTTGTGTTGTAATATTTCGAACAAGCCATGATAATATTATATATTATATTATGATATTTAGACAAAACGATAGTGTATTATTATTATTATACATTTTTTTTTTCGCTTCCTTTTAAAGGTTTTAAAAAAACAAGTCGCATAATTATTTAAACATATTATTATTATACTACATAATATCTTATTCATTAATTATTATATTATCATTATATTATTACTATTATTAATTGTTTTTATCGGTGTTCTCAAGACTTTTGAATTGTGATATACGTGATGTGAGAATACATAAAATTACCAATATAATAAACTTATTGAGATTCATTGAAAAAATTAATTTGCCAGCGTTAATTCATTTATTAGCTATTCTCCTTTATACCCGTATCCCATACGTATCCTATTTAAAGTGTAATCATTTTCGGTATAAAGTGTGTACCGAACGTATGTGTCCGAACGGAATGCACTACAACCACCGTGTTCCCGGAGTGAAAAACAATACATAAATCTCGCGCACACAATATTATTACGCCGTGGTGTGCCATGGACAAGAGTGGAAAACGTTCGGATTCGCCATTTTTCGGGGGGGGGGATGGGGGAGAATTGTTGTCTACAAGAACGGTGAGTCGATGTATCGGAGATAATATCCGATATTATATAGGTGCGCGATCTAATCTTTTGGTAAATATGGGCGCGTAATAGTCGCATCAGTAGTACAGTATAATCATATTATAATACGAAAGTAGCAGCAGCACACCGCGTTGGTTAGAAATCTACTTGTACCATATACGTGTGTATTATAAATGTCTGTGAGGAAACGGCGGTTTTTATAATTCGAGTGAGTCTCACAAAAAAAAAAAAAAAAAAAAAAAAAAAACAATGATCGTTAGCGTATCAAACGCGAAACCGGACGATTTGTGCGAAATCGCATTCGTATAGCTCGAGGAAAAACTAATAAAAATAAACGAATTATATTATCGCCGTGTTCAGGCGTTCATTGTAATGAAACTTTTCTGCCACGCAAAAAGGAAAAGTCACCGGACGCCACGCCGGTCAATGGCACACCTTATAATACACTGTTATTCGTAGTGCTTCAAAAAGAAAAAAAAATAATAACAAAAAAAAAAAAACCGTTATACTACGAGGTCGTATCAAAAGCGAGACCATGCGAAATTGTAATAATTTATTCGCAGGTAAAGGTCCTCGACGTTGATAGTATGCGGAAGGTAAGTGCAGTGTAATATTATAACAACTACACCTGCAAAGGCGGTCGAAAATGTTTAGCTAAATTGGATCGAGGTAAGTTAAATGAACCGAACAATGACAAATAAATCTTCGGTTAAAAGTTACCTGTAAAAAGAACAACATATATTTAACTTAGTTTAAAAAAAGTTAATTATATTTTTCTTATGTTATTATTTTGCAATTATCCTATGTATACCTTTCGATTTTGTGTAAATTAACCATGATAATTTCGAGAGGGGGGAGAATATTCGTTCGTCCTGAATCCTTTTACAACATTAACTATAAACTAGTCGAATAAATAATATAATAAGTAAAAATAAAAATAATATGTAATTATTTGTAAATCTGTTATCATTCTCCTTTGTGCCTGAATATTTATGTGAATTGTTCTTGCATATTATGTATTGATAGGGTGAACTCTATTAAATATTTAAGACTTTATATTCATTATCATCTTAAGTGGAACGTCCGTTGTTAAGTTAAGCTTTTTTTTTTTTTTTATGTTTTTATACATTTAAGGCATATTAGATAAACAACAATTAAGAATCATACACACTTCGTTGGTGTAATCGGTATTTACTTTTGGTGTTGGGATTTGGGGTAACACTTTTGGTATCCATTTGAATAAAATAAAATTTCTACGAATAAAATTGTTGAGTTTATATTGAAATGACCAAGACTTTCTTGTACAAAATTAATTTATAAGGAATTTGGTGTAAATGACTTTCGATACATTTTACAAGTTAAATTTACCGCTATTATCTTTGGAACATAAATAATATCTGCTTAAGTGTCCGCATACCTACAATACTAGATTTAAGAAAAATGTTTGCAAAATATAATTGCAACTTAATGTAATACAAGTTTCGAAAGTAAGAACTGTCTAAATTATGCTAATAAGCCTTGTAGGACGCTTAGTTGTTTAAATATTAATAATTTGCGTAACATAAATCAATTTAAACATTTTATTCTAAAGATAATTTAACCAAATTCGGCCACCCATAATTCCGTTATTTTATATTTATACTCATTACCCATTAATAATATTTGTATTATTATTATTATTTTTTTTTTTTTTGAAACATTAGTCTGAGAAAACGTTTCTAGTCTGTAATATATGTATTGTTCATCTTATTTTTAGCAACTCAACGTCTCCAATATACAAGTTTTCGCTTAAAGTAAATATAAATATTTTAAACTTTTAAAATTGCGATATTTCGTATCATTCTAAAGTGTTAATAAATAATAATAAAAACAAATAAAATTATATAAAGGGTGATCAATCCGGCGTGAGACACTCATTATCTCGGATAGTATTAACTTTCTTGTAATTTATTTTATTCAGCATTTAAGAAACAAGCAGCTCTACAATGTTACATTTTTATTTTTGGCAGTGAAACCACTGCCTATGATTGATTTTCAAATGGCAACCTATATTAAAAGTTCCATAAATAGATGGAATCAAAAATTTCTTTTATCGAATACTTCATCTATTTTTAAAATTTTTAATGCTAGGTGATTCATTTAAATGGGCACACTCATTACCGCGGAATGTATTAACTTTTTCTGGAATTTGTTTTCAAGAGCATTTAAGAAACAAGCTGCTCTACAATTTTATATTTATGTATTTTTTTATCGCCCTTATTTTTGGAAGTAAAAGCACACCTATATTTGATTTTCAAATGGCAACCTATATTACAAAGTCCATAAATGGAATATTAGTTAAAATCAATTTTAGTGTTCAGATTTTTGATTTCTGTTTTTCCGTTGACGAGATATTTCACTTTTAATTTTGGGTTGGAGGAGAGTAGTGGAGTGTTATTTGTGTGGCGGTACGGCGTGTTATTAATGCGCCACTACTCTCCTCCAACTTAAAATTAAAAGTGGAATATCTCGTCAACGGCTTGACAGAAATAACAAATTTCAAAACTCAAATTTATTTTAACTAATACTCTATCTATTTATGGAATTTTTTTTATATAGGTTGCCATTTAAACATTAAAAGTAGGTAGTAGTTTCGCACCTAAAAATAAAACAAACGTAATATTGCCCAAACGTGTTTGACCGGTTCGACGGATTTCGAAAACGTATAGTTTGTCTTTATTTAGATTTTTTTACTGGGATATGTCGAAATTATTTTTTTAAATTATAATTCTCTGCATATTTGTAATTTTTTTTTTTTGAAAATTGTTCATTTATATACAATTTATATTATTATTATTATTTTTTTTTTGCGATTTCCAGTTAAATTATAATTTGTTTACATTTCCATTTCCTACACATTCTATTAAAGAATCTTAAAAATCACAATCCGTTTTCGAAATTTAAATCCGTCACACCCAATCCTTATAGTATTTGGCCTGGCTTTAATGTCTAAATCGACTGAGATTTACACCGTCGTTAAAGGAGAAAAACGCAAATTATCTATAACTTTGTGCGCAAAACTTTTTAAATTTTTTTATGTTTATTATATTTGCATTATTTGATAATGGAATTGATAGACCGAGTTTGAATGCGTTGAATATTGGAAAAACCAACATGCAATAACCGATAAACACATCAACTGCTAGTGTAAACGGGGCAGGGGGGAAGGGAAGCCTATAAACGATAAAGACATATTGTGTCCCCAGAGACGCGTCGCGCCCGCACTCTGAGTCACATGCCAGAAATTCTTCTTTCATAAATCGACGATTTTCCACCTAATAATTCACCCTTGACTTAGGTATATTATAATTCCTATTGCGCCGTCCGTTCGAATTACGCCGCGAAAAATGCGTAGTCAAAATGACTGTAAATATTGTGGATATAATATTTCTTTTCCTTTTCCAAGGGCTGCGGACCTTCGATAAATCCATTAAAAAGATCCGTAGACAACTATAATATACCCGTGAGTGAACCCCATACATAAATCCAAAATATTCGTTTAACGTCATATTATTTTTTTTATAAGCTGTTTAATTAAGCGAATTAGAAAATAAATAGCAAAAACTCCTTTTATCATTGAAATAAAGTGGTCGACGAAAACCAATATGGTTTTGGTGTTATTTTCAATATTTGTTCGATCAATTTATTCGCTGGATTCCTGTGGGCTATGACTGAAGTTAAAAAGTTAACAAAAATATGCCGAAAAAACCAACAGAAAACCTATGTACAGAAAAAAAGATTTCGTTTTTAATTTTTGTATTTGAAATGTTATTTCAAATTCCCGTAGTAACACGGCTAAATTGTATTAGTCAAGCAAAAATAATAGAGATGCGTGTCCCGCGAACCCTCGAGAATACATATTTTCATTTTTTTCCCCACGCATTATAAAACAGTAACAAACTGTTTTTTCTAGCGACGGACTGTGATGGTTTCCGGCCCTCGGTTCTAGAAAATACCTAATTGGCCCAAGTAATAAAGTCAATCAACTTAATAGCATTTTTTTTAGCGTTTTGCTAATAATGGTCTAGGTAAAACATTTTCTGGGATTTTCGGAAATTCCAAAAATGTTGAAAACTACGGCACTGCACTCGTTCACTAGCTTAGTTACTACACGACTACTAGCCGTACTCCATAGTCTTGCTCAGTTTTATTATGGAAGTTGAGATAAAATGTTGTTTCTCCACTAATCGGTTTAGCGAATATTAAGTTTATCGGTTTCTAAATGGGTATAAATAGGTACTTACCTATAGCTGTATCGATACTGCAATAAGTTGCGAACACAATAGGCCAATTCAAAAATAACTTGTCGATAAAACCGCCGATGCGCTAGGATTTTGAAAGAGGTAAAAATTAAAAATGGGATGCACTCGGGATATCCCCGTATTTTTAAGTCGATGCAGAGAATATAACCCCTTACCTCCTTCCCCCGTCACTGCATACGCAACTAGACTACCAACTGTAGGGGTGCTAAAATTATGGACACATCGAAAACGCACGGGAGCTACGTCCTCACAATCCCCTCTACACGATTTGTACAATAAACAACTACACAGGCCATTTACAATTTTTATAAATAAAAATTGATCATTACAACTTTTAGATTCCGAGCGTAGTGAGGGAGCTACTGGTTTTACTAAGATGTTTAATTTTTTTTTTTCTAGTCTGTAAACACGTTTTTTCCTTATAAACTAACCCGTCTAATGGTTTATCGTTGCTTACAGATATATATATATGAAATAACCTTATGTATCCTACCTTTCCCACTTCTCACTTACAACAGTGGCCGCTCCCATTCCCAGTATTCCCAGCTCTTTTCTTCTTTTTTAACATTATTTTTCATACACACATGGATTGTCTGTAGAAAATCTGTTCTGCTCGTTAATTGTGAGATACGCGGATAAAATATTTAGTTATTACCAAGTAGGTCCAGTAGGTCTCTACAGGTTTCTTCGTTAGTTTAAAGTACGTCTAAATATATGCTGGTTTCCTGTACAATTCATATTACTTCTTTGATCGGAATCAATCGGATGATTCAATCAATGCTGATCCATCAGCTGGACTATTACAATAATGGTTTGGCTGTGGGAATTCGCAACTGGCCACATCAAATTTTATTAATGTTGATTAAGTAAAAAATAACGAATAAATGACATTTTGTGAAACAGTTGCTGCTTTGTCAGGGGACAAGGGTATTTGAGCTGTTCGTGAAAAAAAAAAAAATGTAATTCTAACCGTTGCGCATATTTAATAGCTAAACTCAAATGTAATAATCGTTGTCACGATCCAACTCATACAATATAACATGAATTAAATGTATATTATATTTTTTTTCGCCAAGTAGATAGATGGGCCGTTTGATGGGAAAAAAATCACACGATATGAAATTTTAGTATCCATTTCGTGAAAAGACGTCCGTCCACTTCGTGAGATTTGTATTTATTTCACTAAGTGGAAAAAAAAAAAAAAATGGTTTCCATTTCATGAACACGATAGCTTTTCACGAAACGGACAATTTCATCAAGTGGATGCAACGTACGTCGTATTGTTACGTACAATATGACGTATACATATTATTCATCATAATCGATTTGACCGGTTGCGGCCGTGCCGCAACTCCCCCGGAAACCGTTGTTGTTTTGCCGCCATTTCCTGATTTTATAACCGTCGTCGGCCGGCCAGGTTAT